AGGCAGGAGCAGCACTGCAAGTTTGAGGCCAGCCTGGCTACATAGTGAGTAAAAGGTCATCCTGAGCTGCATAGCGAGACCCTGTCTCAAAAGTCTCAGACCAAAAACCTGAGAAAAAGGAGAAAAGGTAGGGCCAGGGATTTAGCTCAGTGGTTCCTCTGCCTGCCTCGCAAGCGCAAGGACTAGAGTTCAATCTCCGGCACCAAAAAAAAAAAAAAAGGAATTGGGATCACCCAGGCATGATGGTGCACACTTACAATCCCAGCACTCAGGAGGCTGAGGCAGCAGGATCACTGGGAGTTCATGGCCAGCCTGGGCCATACAGTGAGTTCAAGGCTAGCCTGAACTACACAGTGAGACCTTGTCACAAAAAACCAAGCCAAACCAGAACAAAAAGCCAGGTTAGTGGCAGATGCCTGTAATCCTAGCACTCGGGAAGCTGAGGCAGGGCGATCCCTGTGAGTTTGAGGCCAGCCTGGGCTACATAGTGAATTCAAGCCCAGCCTGAATTGCAGAGTGAGACCCTGTCTCAAAGAAAAATGAGAGGGAGAGAGAGAGACTCTCACTATGTCACCCAGGCTGGTCTGAACTCCTGGGCTCAAGTGATCCTAGTGCCTCAGTGTCCTGAGTAGCTTTGATTCCAGGCACACATCACTGCGGTCATCCTGTATTTTATTTTTATGCATTTTCATGTTACAGGATAGAAGGTAAATCACTGAGTCCTCTCTTCAGGGATGGCATTGTGTGGGAGGGAGGAGGGCAAAGAGGAGGAAGGGACGGTTGGGAAGGATAGAGGTGGAAGGTGGGATGATAACATGGCTGCCCTGGCTCAGGTGGTACCTCTTGGTGATCCTGAGACCCAGGGAAGAATGGGTCACAGATCATCTGTCCAAACCTCTTCATTGTACAGCATGGAGAAACTGAGGCTTGAGCCAGCCGGAGTGACCCAGCTGCATCCTGAATGCTCTGCAGTGCCCCTACTGGCTGGAGTGGGCAGTGTATGGGTTGAGGGGGTGGGCACTACATCCCTCTTGTACTCCCTTGAACCCTTTCTCTTGCTAGATGCGGCCACTGCAAGCAGAGTGCACCGTGCTCTAAGGACTTAGGCTTCTGTGAGTCCTGTGAGCCGGGATGGAATGGGACCCTGTGCCAGGTGCCTTGCTCACCAGGCACCTTTGGCGAGACCTGCAGCCAACAGTGCCCCCACTGCCGGGGTGGGGAGCCCTGTCAGGTAGAAACAGGACACTGTGAGCACTGTGACCCTGGCAGGATGGGGCCCAGGTGAGTGTATACCCCTGCTTAGGATGGGGTGGACTTTTCTGTCAGATCTTCATAGCCACCTCTCCCCCAGCACACACACTCATTCTCGGCGCTGCCTCTGGGAGGGACTGAGGAAGAGAGAGAATGTTGAGGGGGCCGTGGGCAGGATGTTCTTCTGTTCCTGCCCCACTCTTTTGCACCCATGCTTTGCTGCTGAAGAATGGCCATTTGGATCCCTCAGTTCAGGAGTGTAGGGCCCCACTCTGGGGGCCAGGCCTGGCCTGCCTTCCCAGGCTCAGAATCTTGCTTCTCCCAGATGTGAAGACAGCTGCCCAGTTGGCACCTTTGGAGAGGACTGCAGCTCTATCTGTCCCACCTGTGTCCAGGGGGCCTGTGATCCCCAGACTGGAGAATGTGTCTGTAGCGCTGGCTACTGGGGGACCAGGTGAGGACTGAGCCCTGGGGGGAGGAGGGCGGTCTGAGGTCAGGCCTCTGTAATGTTTCCCAAAGTTCCCTTCCTCAGGGTTACTTATTTGGGAAGTACTTGTATGGCAGAGTCAGGGGTGGTGGCTGCTGCAGAGGGCACCTAAAATAAGAAGTTCCCTTCCCAGGCCTCTTCACCTCCCAGACATGCGCCCACTGTCCTTATGGGAGTCATATCTTCCAAGGAAGTCAGATGACACCTAATCTAAAAGGACTGAAAAATAGCACACAGGAGGCTGAGGCAGGAGGAATGCAAGTTAAAGCCTAGCCTGGACCACATAGCAAGATCGTGTCTCCAAAGCCAAAATAAATAATAAAAATAAAAGCATAAATAAAAGACTGAAAAATAAATCAGAATTGTTAAAAAGGAAAGAAAGCAAAATTTTAAAAGTCATAAGAATTGAGAGTTCAATGCAAGCCTAGGCTATATGGCAAGACCCTGTCTCAAAAAACAACCAAAAAAAAAAAAAATCCTGGCATGATGGTACAGCCTAGAATCACAGCAATCTGAGAGGCTGAGGAAGGAGGACTGCAAGTTTGAGCTAATACACCAATTAAAAAACATAAAATTGGGCCAGGGATTTAGCTCAGTGGTTCCAGTGCCTGCCTTGCAAATGCAAGGTCCCAAGTTCGATCCCCGGTACCAAAAAAACAAAAAAAACCAAAAAATAGGTAAGAATATATGTATTTCAGTTCGAAGACCTGGGTTCTACCCTTGGTACCGCTAAAATAAAAAAAAAAAGGGGGCCGAGGATTTAGCTCAGTGGTGCTGCCTCCTGCCTCGCAAATACAAGGTCCCAAGTTCAATCCCTGGTACCAAAAAAATAATTTAAAAAAGGACCAGGGATTTAGCTCAGTGGTTCTGGCACCTGCCTCACAAGTGCAAGTCCCGAGTTCGATCCCCTGTACCAAAAAAAAAAAATAATAATAATAATAATAATTAAAAAAATAAATAAAAGGGAAAAAAGAAGAAGGAAAATAAAGGGGGACCTGGCTCCCTAACCAGTTAGAGACCTTACTAGGGGGGTCGGGGGGCATTGTCTTCAGGTGGTAAACAGTGTCTCCAGTCAGGTTTCCCACCTGGAGGAGAGTGAAGGAGCGAATGGAAGAGAATCTGTTTTACAGTGAAGGGGAACAAGGCCCGGAGTTAGGGGCAAGGCGAGGCCTGGCTGGGACTGCAGGTCCTGAGGGGATCTCCCTGGGTGCCATCGTATCTTAGTTCACATTAGTGCTGGCAGGCAAGAGGCAGAGGCCAGGTGAAGAGCCGAGTGGCTTTGGGGCTGAACACTGCCAGGGGCACTAGCATGTGGTGCGGAGGTCAGAGGGGTCTGCTCGGACATTGTGCAGGGCAGGCTCCCTGGCAGGGGAGGGCCAGTGCCTGGAACTCTCCCTTCCCCCTCCACTGCCCACCACCATCCCTTCCCACCCAGTCTTCAGCCTGCCCCCTTGTCACCCCACAGCTGCAACAGTTCCTGCCTGCCTGGCTTCTATGGCAACAACTGCTCCCTGCCCTGCCAGTGCTCAGATGGACTTTGCAGCCCTGTGTCTGGGGCCTGCCACTGGGGTAAGGCAGAGGGAGGATGCAGGGCGCTGTAACCCTGAAAGTCTGGTCCTTTCCATGGGCCCCAGGGGCTCCACTTGCTGGGGGCGTGCCATGTTGGGCCTACTTCAGAGACTTCTCTGTGGCTGAAATCTGGATGGATGCTGTGGGACCCCTGAAGATGTGACAAAGCCCCTGCCATCTAAGAAAGCAAGTACAGCTGGAAATGAGCAGGCAGGGCTGGACTCTAGTATGGCCTGAGAATTGGGACAAGAGCTTGTAGAATGGGCTTTTAGACTATCAGGCGGGGACAGATTAGCAGAGATGCCACCTAGATGAAGGGAAGGGACCCACAGGTAGGCGCCTGGCAACTCAGAGCTGAAGATGAGCTATCTGTGTGGGAGGTGGGAAGGCCCTGACTCTTTGACCATCTGCTCCCCCAGGCCATCTCAGTAAGGAAGTTGCTCTCATTGCTGGCAGCCTTGTGCTTCTGCTGCTGCTCCTCCTGGGCATTGCCTGCTACTGCTGGGCCACTCGGCTGGACCCCAAGGACAGGTGAATACTGGCTGGTCCCTTCTGGTTTCCTTTCAGGGGTGGGGAAAGGCTGGCCTTGCCACACACTTAGGTCAAAGACAGTGGAGAGAGCTGGCAGTGGCCATGGCCTGGAGACACCATGTCAGCCACCTGCCTACCTTGGAAGCCTGTGACATGGAAGTTTCTGAGGCACATGGGCATTAGTTGAGGTGCAGGGCACCGAACCTGCAGCAGGAGGCCAGGAGCTTACTGGAAGGGGCCTACAAGGGGGACCAGGAACACAGAAGTATCAGGACAACTCTGGGCTGGAGAAGAGACCAGACCTCATTTGTCCTAGAAAGGAGAGTGACATAAAAGCCTGTGGCCAGGCATGGTGGTGGATGCCTGTAATCCCAGCACTCTGGGAGGCTGAGGCAGGAGGACTGCTAGTTTGAATCCAGCCTGGACAATTTAACAACTTAGTAAGACACTGTTTCAAAATGTAGCTCTGTATGAAGATCCTGGCTTCAGTCCCTAGTACTGGGGGAGCAAAAAGTGCGTATCAGTTCAGCAGAGAAGAGGGGCTGGCTTAGGGAATGATGCTCACATGATGCTTTGTTCTTTCCAAAACTTCTTTTTCTTTTTTTTTTAAGAGTAGGAAAATTTATTGAGAGAGATAGCTTCTAAGAGAGACAGAAGGGGGACCAGAAAGTGGGTCGCCCCTTTCCAAAACTTCTTACACCCTGAAGCCCAAGGGGACCTAGCTAGTCATGGCATGCACAAAGCCCTGCTTGGCTTTCTGTCTAGTGCTCACTCACTTGCTCACTTGCTTGCTTCCTTTTGTATCAGGAAACGTATCAGGGCCTTGCACTTGCTAGGCAGGCGCTGCACTGCTGAGCTACATCCCCAGCCCTGTCCAGTGCGTTCTTATTACTTCATGCGCTAATCCTCAAGCTTGTCCTCAGTTGTTAAGCATTCACAGACGCACCAGTCCTGTTGCCTCACCCTCTGGCACACAGCCTATTGGGTTGGAGGAAGCCCCTCACAGGGAGACGAGGACATGTGCAAAAGCCATTAGATGACTGGTGACAAGTAGAGCAGACCCAGCTTGGGGGTGGAGGAGAGTGGGGACAAGAGCAGGCTTCAGGGGCTCAGCTCAGGTGACCATCACAAGGAGTCGCATTTTGAGAACCCTCTAGGGTCTTTGTGCTGTACCGCGTCCTGCACTAAGCTCTGGTAGATAGGACTATTGTCCCCATTTTATAGATGAGGAAACCAAGGCCCAGGGGTGTTCAGTCTGCGCCAGAGTTGTTACCCTGGTCTATCTGACTCTAGAGCGCTGCTGCCTTCTATGATTTATAGAAGGCTCAGTTGGGCTCAGTTGTTTGGGTCTTATTGTTGTCAATACGGAGTGATTGTCATGCCTGTCATGCCCTGCCAGGGTCACCCTGAGTCTTGGGTGCTGACCATCCCCCATGTCACCTCCTCAGGCCTTCAAGGGGTGGAACCACCTTGTCCAGGATGAAGCAGCGGGTCTGTGGGGCACTGAGCAGCCTGGGCTCTGCACTGCTGTGTGGCTCCCTCAGTGGCTACAAGCTTCCCTGGGTGACAGGTCAGTGGGCATTGGGCTTGGGGGCTGTGAGGGGACGAGGCTTCCCAGCAGGCTGTGACCTAGAGAGCCCCTGCAGTGTCTCACCACGACCCGGAAGTCCCCTTCAACCACAGCTTCATTGAGCAGCCCTCTGCCGGCTGGGCTTCTGAGGACTCCTTCTCTTCTGATTCTGAATCCGGAGCAGAGAACGAAGATTCTGCCTACTGCGTGTCATCCCCAAAAGGTAGCCCCCACCAACCCACTCAGAGTACCCCTGCCCACCACAGCCTCTTCCATATTCCTTCAGGGCCAGTCACTGTCCTGTCTCTGGGGACACAGTAAAGAGCAAAAAAGAAGCCGGGCATGGTGGCATATGCCTGTAATCCCAGCACTCGGGGGGCTGAGACAGGAGGATTGCCGCAAGTTCGAGGCCAGCCCAGGCTACATAGTGTGTTCAAAGCCAGCCTGAACTACAAAGTGAGACCCTGTCTCAAAAAAACTACAAAACAAAGGGCCCGGGGGGTTTAGCTCAGTGGTGCCGCAGCCTGCCTCGAAAGTGCAAGGTCCCGAGTTCGATCCCCGGTACCAAAAAAACAAATAAACAAAATAAAAAACAAGAACAAAATAGAGCTGGGCATTGTGCCAGATGCCTATAATCTCAGCATTCTAGGAGGGTGAGACAGGAGGATTGCAAGTTTGAGCCCATCCTGGGCAGGGTGGTGACTTAGAGAGAACCTGTCTCAAAAAAAAAAAGCTGGGGACATAGTTTAGTGCGAAGGCCCTGGGATCAAAAAAAGACTCCTGTCCTCACCATGCTTGCAGTCTGACAGGCAGTAATGAGACAAGTCACCAGGGAGTTATAGGGAGTTATAGGTACACGCTTTGACAGGGACACATAAAGAGGGACCCAATCTAGCCATGGCAGTGGCAACTCTGTTAGTGGAGCTGTGTTGAGCGTAGCAGAATCAGTAGGAGTTAGCCAGAAAGTGGGAGTGGTTCCAGCTAAAGGGAACAGCATACTCCAAGGCCCAGAGGGACACAGCTCAGAGGTCATGGGTCAGGACATGGTGGGAGTTTCAGGCTGGCTGGTGTGCAGCAGTGGCTCAGAGCAGGGAGAGATGGTGAGAAGAGTGGAGAAGGAGGTGTGCCGACTGAATTGGCCCTTCCCTGACGCTCTCTGCATCCTCACTTCCCGGCCTGTATGCAAGGCCAGCCCAGAAGATGCTGAGCTGAGGTGGGCTGGACTGAAGTGCCCACACCTAGCTCTTTCGTCTCCTCTGCCAAGCTCTTTCATCTCCTCTGCCAGGGACGGTTCCTGTGGCCCAGGCAGAGTCATTGGAGGCCACCTTCCCTCCCCCTGAGGATGCCTCCACGCCATTCCCTATCCCACGAACCTCCAGCTTAGCCCGGGCCAAGCGGCCCTCCGTCTCCTTTGCTGAAGGCACCAAGTTTGTGTCGCAGAGTTGCCGAAGCTCAGGGGAGCTCTCCAGTCCAATCCGAAAACCCAAGAGGCTCTCAAGAGGAGCCCAAGCAGGTCCTGAGAGCCAGGAGACTGAGGAGTCCACAAGCATGGAACAAGCACAGGTGGATAAGGCCCCTCCTGCTGCTGCCAGACCCAGCAATTCTGCCAATGGCCACCGATTCCCGCTTGATAACCAGAGAGTGGCAGAGCATGGGGAAACCACCAAGGACAACGTCCAGAAGAGCTCTGATTCTGTGGCTACAATCTACATGCTGGCAGGGATGCCCGAGAGATCTGAGGGCCCTGTCTGGTCTGTCTTCCGCCGTTTGGGTAACTTCCAGAAAGGCCAGGCAGAAGCCAAGGTCAAGAGTGCCATCCCTAAGCCTCCACGCCGAGCTCTGGCTCAGAAGGGCAGCACTACACCATCCCCTGGCTCTGCCAATCAAAGCCCTGGCTTGGCTCCTAGTCTTGTAGGGGCTGCAGAATCTAGAGGAGTTAGGCAGGAGGAGGTGTCCAGGGTGCTGGGGGATGGCAGTGAGAACCCGGGAGGCACCTGGGAGCCGGTCTCCAGGAACAGCCTCCCAGAACATGCTCCCCAGAAGCAAGCTGAAGAGGAAGGGGCAGAGGAGCCCCTGTATGAGAATGTGCGTGTACCTGGGTAACCAAAGTCCTGAAGACCTTAGACTCGGGGAGTGGGAAGAACATGGATGGGGTGGGGGCAGGAGGCACCAGAACTGCCCTGAATGACTGTGCTTTGTGCTAGAGCCAGGATGCGCTCAGCAGAGCCTCTGTACAGGAAAAGAGCAGGGTTAGAGGCCAGCTGGCTCTGGGTCCTGGCAGCACTCCAGGAGCAGGTCTGGAGGGCCCAGGCAGGGATCCTGCAGGAAGGGGTCAGGAAGAGGGAAAAGATACTGCAGGGACTTTTTGTCTGTTGCCCTGGATTCTGCCCCCAAACCACTGTTCTTTCCTTCATTTGCCAAACATTTTTCTGAAACGGAAAACAACCTAAATGTTTGATGATAAAAGATTGGTTAAACAGATACTTCTTACTGCACAACTACTAAAAATCATGTTGTACAAAAAATATTAATGTGGGAGAATGTGCTACTCCAAATGTGTAAAAAATGACCTACAAATTGTGGAATACAGTACAGCACAATAGTTTGTTGTTTTGGTGCTGGGGACTGAACTCAGGGCCTCACTTATGCCAAGCACGTGCTCTACCACTGAGCTATATCATCAACCCATTGTTTCTTTATTTTTTTTAAATTTTTTATTTTTTTTTTGTTTTTTTGTTTTTTGAGACAGGGTCTCGCTATGTAGTCCAGGCTGGCCATGAATTCATTGTGTAGCTCAGGCTGACCTTGAACTCATGGCAATCCTCCTGCCTCAGTCTCCCGAGTGCTAGGATTATAGGTGTGGGGCACCACACCTGGGTGTTTATTTTTAAATTTCTTAATTTTTTGTGGGGTTTTCTGAGACGGTCTCACTCTAGCCGAGGCTGGCCTTGAATCTGCAATGTAGCCAAGGCTGGCCTTGAATTTGTGAGCTTCCTGCCTCACCCTATTTTCTAATTTTTTTGTGTGTGCATGTGTGGTACTGAGGATTGAACCCATGGCCTGATCTATGCTGTGTGAGTGCTCTATCACTTTTCATCCTAACCCTTTTGTTTTCTGAGACAGGCTGGGCTTGAACTTGTGATCTTCCTGACTCAGTCTTCTGGGTAGCTGAATTACAGGTGTGTACCACCATTCCCAGCTTTAATCATTTTTCATGCACATAAATCCTTTTAAAGACAAGGTTCAGGAAACATCACTAAATATATACATAAAGGTAGAATTCTAAAGCCAGGCCTTGTGGCAGTATAATCCTGTAATCCTACTTTCTCGGAAGCTGAGGCAGGAAGATCACTTGAACCCATGAGTTCCAAACCAAGCCTGGGCAACACACTGAGACTCCATCTCCAAAATTGAAGAAGAAAAAATACTAACATTGTAAACCTGTATAAAGTAGGGCTGAGATTTCTCTTTTCCCAGAGGCAATCTGGGAGGCAAGGGAGAGGTTAAGACTGACTTTTCTCTGAGTGCCTTTTGGTCTTCGAATTCCTGGCTCACACACCACATTACCTAGTCAGCAAAAGAAGAGCCAGGTTTCCCCTTCTATCCCTGTGCTCAGAGAACCTCATTCACAGTTGAGGCACTTCCTTTCACATATTTTTTTGTGCATATGTAAATATATGCTTTACAAACAAAAGAGCACACTAAGCATAGTATTCTGCAGCTTACTTGCTTTTTTTCTCCCCTTTCCTTTTTTTGGTACCAGGGATCAAACTCAGGTCCTTGCGCTTGTGCAGCAGGCAGCGAAACCACTGAGCTAAATCCCAGGCCCATCCCTTCTTTTTTTGGTGCCAGGGATTGAACCCAGGTCCTCAAGTATGCTAAGCACACCTTCTACCTGAGCTGCACTTGCTTTCTTACTTTTAGTAATGTATCCTGGTTATCTTTTGATGTCAGTAAATATAAATACAAACTTTCATAAAATTTGATGAGGTAGGGCTGGGGATGACTCTGGAATAAAGTGTTTGCTTAGGGTGTGTGAGGTTTTCGGTTTGAGCCCCAGTAGTAGAGGGTGGGGGTGAGGAGGTGGGATTCCGTTACGTGGAAATGACACAGGTTATTGAAACCACCACTCCCACCAATGGACAGTTGTTTCTAATTGTTTTGATATAATAAACTATGATGTAGTCTACAACTAACTTTGTGCATATTTCTTTTTTTGTTTTTGCAGTGCTGAGAATTGGACCCAGGGCCTTGCGCATGCTAGGCAAGCGCTCTGCCACTGAGCTACATCCCCAACTCTGTATATATTTCTTTTTGCACTTATGCAAGATTTTCTATAGGATGGATTCCTAGAAGTGGAGTTGTTAAATTATAGGGTAACAACATTAGACATTTCTGTACTTACTCCAAATTGCCCTCCAAAAAAGTTGTATGGGTTTATATCCACACAAAATAGCCATTTACCTATGCCCAATATGACAGGTTGGAAATGACTCTCATTATTTTAGCATACACACAAAAAAATGAAAAAGCTAGTTAAAATCCTTATACAATTAAAAAGCTATTTTTTTTGTTTTGCGGTACCAGGGATCGAACTCAGGACCTTGTGCTTTTGAGGCAGGCATGGTACCACTGAGCTAAATCCCTAACCCCTAAAAAGGTGGGGTTTTTGTTTGTTTGTTTGTTTTTTTGGTACCAGCGATCGAACTCAGGTCCTTGTGCTTGTGCAGCAGGCAGCGAAATCACTGAGCTAAATCCCCAGCCCTAAAAAGGTGTTTTTTGAGACAGGTCTCACTATATATTCAGGCTGGCTTTGAACTCATTTATAGCCCATCCTGGCCTTGGGGATCCTTCTGCCTCAGGCTCCTGAGTTCTGGGATTTCAGGTGTGTGCCACCACATCCAGCTAGCCATCTTTTAACCATCAAAAAATGATAATGATTTCTGTGGGGCTGGAGGAATAGCTTAGTGGTACAGCACTTGCCTAGCCTGCATAAGACCCTAGAGTTGATCTCCAGCAACACACACACACACACACACACACACACACACACACACACAAAATTTAACCTCAGGAAGGTGAGGCAGGAGGATCACCTTGATGTCAAGGCCAGGCTACATAGTGAGTTCACGGCCAGCCTGAGCTATGTAGCAAGACTCTGTCTCAAAAAACAAAAAACAAAAACTTACAATTTAAATTTCAAGATTATTCTTTTTCTCTATGATTATTGTAAGGTTGAGCTTCCTATCAGTCCTTAATAGCTTTTTTTTTTTCCTGCAGATTATCTGGTTATATTCAATTTTCAATTGAGGCATTCATCTTTTTTCTGATTGATTTTTAAGTGCCTTTTATATATCAAGGATATTAGTTCTTTGCTCACTTTGTGACTGGTGTTTAAATCCTGTTTATAGTTTCTTCTTTTTTTCCTCTATGGAAGTTTTAAAATTTTAATTTAGACAGCCTTTGTCTTTATGACTTTTGGGTTTCACTGTATGCTTAGTGCAAAAATCTCTATCCTAAAATCAGTGAAATGATCTACATTTTCTTCTAGTACTTTAGTGATTTTATTTCTTTTAAAGCTGGGGATTGAACCCAGGTCCTCATTTATGGTGTACTCCCATGGTTTTATTTCTTCATAATTTGCCAACAGTGCTGGTGTTGGGGCATTAACACTCCTAATTAAAAAAAAAAAAAGAAAAAGTTTCACTCAGACAGACCTGGAACCAAGTCCCAGCTCCAACTTGTTTTGTGATTTTGAAAGTTACTTAAAGCCTCAGGATTTTCATCTGAAAAACAAAGATAATGGGTACCTTCCAGGGTGGTTGTGGGGATTAAATGACACAAAGGATGTAAAGCACCTAGTAAATGTTTAGTTCTCAATAAAGGGTATTTATTATTGGCATTACTTTTATTCTCCCAGTTTTAGATTCTGTGTCCTGGAACCCTTTTCATTTGTTCGTGTTTTCATTCCACAAACTCCACTGTGCACCTACTTTGTGTTTACTTCACTAGTAAAGGCTGGTTATACAAAGTTGTATAAGACACACTCTTGCCTCCAAAGAGTTTACTTACAGTCAATGGGGAAAGGGAGATAAAAACAGATGAATAACTATCAAACAATGCAACCAGTGGACAAAGATAGCGAAAGGTATTATTGAGAATGGCTAGGGAAGGCTTCTGAGAGGAAGTAATGTCCAAGAAGGGGCTATGTTGATGGCCAGAAGGGAGAGAACAGTGCAGAAACCACAAGCAATTCCACTGGACTGGAGCAGTGAGGACCAGGCAAGTCAAACAGCCTCCTGTGGAAGGAGCCCATGGAGCTGGGAAGCTTAACTTTATCCTTTTTTTTTTTGGTACTGTGGATCGAACTCGGGTCCTTACACTTTCGAGGCAGGCGGCAGAACCACTGAGCTAAATCCCCGGCCTGATTAACTTTATTTTGGAGAGGAAATAATAGTTTTTGAAGGCAATCTGGGAGGCTAAGGCAGGAAAATGACAAGTTTGAGCTCAGCCTGGGCAACCTAGCAACTTAGCAAGATCCTGTCTCAAAATGAAATACAAACAAAAAGGACCGGGGGATGTAGCTCAGTGGAAAGGCCCTGGATTTTAGCAGAGGCCAGATTTACCAAGGTCACTGGGTGGGGGTAGGGGATAGATCTGAGAGGGTGAGATTGGGGATTGAAGTCCTGAGGACACAAATGGTCCAAATGGATAAACATTTAGTAGATAGGACTGTACTGGTGTGGTGGCGTGGGGTGGCAGGGAGAACAGCAGGTGCCTAACACATACTTATTGAAAGATTGGTTTTTGGCATCTATCTACCTTCAGTAGATAATGGTGCTATTATCTAAAGGAGACTTGGAGAAACAGCTTTGCGACAAAAGAGTTCATTATTTTAGAGATGTATTTGAGGCTGGGAGAAGGGTCTCAAGGAGAAGCCCCAAGGAAGAAGGATGAAGGACTGGAGATTTGTCAGATGTCAGTTGAAACCTTGAGTGGGTGAGATTCTGCACGGTGGGTAACCGCGAAAGTAAGACAACCAGCCAAACAGCACTGGCAGTCTAGGAGTGTCTTGCAGAGTGGCCAGCAGGGGGCCCACTCGAGCTGGGGGGAAGTGGACCAGCAGGCTGCCGGCGCTCTCCTAACCTTGGAGTGTTCAGCCAGCTCCCCGAGTATATGAAATCTGGGGAGACCCAGGGTTTTCTGAGGTCAAGCTAGTATTTCTGATCGGGGAGACGCAGCCGTCAGGCTGCTGAATCTTCAGAGCTTGGGCTTCATGCTTCTGCCCCATCAGTTCCTCGGGGCAGGTCCAGTTGGCTGCTCACAGAGGGATGCTGGAGCCCTCTTGGCCCCTCAGACTTATACTAGCAGCTTGGGGTTGCCCACAGAGAGGGTCCTTACATGGAAGGGACGTTCGGGGAATAGAGAAGCAATGCAAGGAGCACCAGGAAAATCGGTCCGGGCGGGGGTCCCCGAGGGAACCGAGGACAGCGGAAACGGGGAAAGGGGGGACTAGAGTCTGGACAACATCCTACTTCCAAACAGACAAGCCCCAAACTCCTCCTTACAGATCCTCAAGGGGCACCTACGAGAGGCAAGAGGCAGGTGAATCAGGAGAGCTGGAAGGCGCACACCACGCCTGGATATGGGCCTGGGAATCCGAGACCCGCAGACTGCACCTGAGTGGGAGCCATCAGGGACAAGAGAGAACCACAGCACAAAGCCCAAGGAAGGGGCAGCAATGCGTGGGAATGGTGCAGTTGAGGTAAGCATCCCTGCGAAGCCTGAGCATTCGGGCGTGGTACCCGGGGCGCAGGGGGGACTACGGAGCGGGCGGGAGAGCAGAATGCACGAGCCAGGCTGGGTGCTGAGGGGCATTGCCACGTAGCTGGGCAAGTCCGGGGTGTGCAAGAAGGCCGAGCCCGCAACCCAGCCTAGAGTCAGGGCTCCGGGCGGGGCGGTGGGAGATTGTGGCCCGAGAGTAACTCCAGCTTAAGACTGCAGAGTCGAGGCGAGGCCCACAGCGGCCCATAGGCTCCCCCCAGTCTCTCTTGTTTGTCTCTTAAGTCCGGCCGGAACCGGCTTCTGCTTGCCGGGGGGCGGGCGGGTGGCTGCTCATTGGTCAAAGCCTGTTTCCAGCCCCCACTCAGCCAATCAGCGGGCGGCAGTGTTTTCATTTTAGGGTCGGAATAAAAGGGCTGGAATAAAAGGAGACGGAAAAGGAGCCGGGCGGGCCCGACACACACAAGCAGGAGCCGGGTAAGCTAGATCCCAGAGATGGGGGTGGGCCTAAGCTAGGGTGCGGGGGACAAGAGAAGGGGCTTAGAGAGAGGTGTACATATGAGAGGAAAGTGACCTGACGGGTGAGGAGCCGCTAGAGAAGACGAGGAGTAGAGCAAGGAACTGGGGCATGGAGGGACTGAGGGTCGGCTTCCATGGGAACCTGCTAATTGCCGAGATAACAGTCCAGAAAGGGGGTCGCGAGGCTGGCTCGCGCCGCCGGTTTGAACCGGCTTCGCCTCTCCCACGCGGGGTTCGCGTGGCCGCAGCGCCTAGCGACCTAGACAATGGCCAATGGCGCGGCAGTTCCTTTGTCGTCAGGCCAATGAGCGCGCCGTGGGCAGGCCGTTCCGGAGCTCGGTGTGCTGATCTTATGGTTGAAGAAGACAGAGCTGGGGCAGGGTCTTGAGTGCGGGCGGGAGGAAGTCTGTCAGGGTCCCTGGGAGTGGCAGCTGTCAGGTATGCCGCTGCCCAGGTGGCCATGCCTCCATCTGCCAGCCCTCACAGCCCTCAAACTAGCTATGTCTGTCTTGCTGGGCTCCAGGACTAGTCCACGTCCTTGAAAATGCTTTCGTCCCGTCCTCCTTCCTTGCCTCAGTTTACCTGGAGTGAGCTGCAGGAGAAGTCTCTGGCCAGGACAGCTCCAGCATAGCGGAGGGCAGCGTTTCCAGGCAGCTGCGGGCTCGGGGTGATCCGGGTCCCAGGCAGGGTTGGGACTTGCTTCCTTCATTTCTCGAACCTGCCTTCTGGGCCACAGAGGGGTGACAGGCTCTGCGCCCTGCGGCAGCGGCCGGGGGGCGGCCGCACGGGTTGGGCAGGTCCCGTGCTGACGCCGAGGTCTGTGCGCAGGTAGCTGCAGAACCAGAGCCCGAGCCTGGCCGCCGCGCCGTGCTGCCGCGCCGTGCCGCCGCACCATGGCGCCCACCCTGGCCACTGCCCATCGGCGCCGCTGGTGGATGGCCTGCACGGCCGTATTGGAAAACCTCCTCTTCTCGGCAGTCCTCCTGGGCTGGGGCTCGCTGCTCATCATGCTCAAGTCGGAGGGCTTTTACTCCTACCTGTGTACGGAGCCAGGTGAGATGGGCACCGTTGTCTGGGGTCGGTTCCTGGAGTCGGGGCTTTGGGAGAGACAGATTGTAATGAAGACTTAACTAGCAGTGCCCTTTCATTGCTCGGCGCCTCCTGGGTATCAAAAGGCCCATTTGACCCTCACCCAGGTGTGCTGGGTCCATTTCAATGTCGTTGTCCCTGTTTCATGGATGAAGAAACCGAGGCTCAGAGCCAGTCTTCTGCTTTGCCCAAGGTGAAGACATTGATAGACACAGAACTCCCACATGCAGGGGTTCTATTTTAACCAGCAGCCACATTGCTGAACTCTTGTCCTCCCAGTGCCTGAACATCCCCCGGCTTGCTGTAAACAAGTTGCTCTCTGACTGTAAGAAAGAGGAACTCCTGATTTCAGGGGCTGGTGTGAAGCATTAGAGAGGAAGTGGCTTCGCCTCCACCCAAAGGTTTCATCTAGAATCTAGATGTTTTTCAGTCAAGCCATTATGGAGTCTCATAAGGGCTTGCCGGATATAATTTCTTGTCTATTTTCTGCAGCTTTATGATTCTCCAAAGGCCATTTCCTCCCACGGGCCATGAGAGCATCACTGTGGCCTTCCAACCCCATGAGCAGGAATAGGAAGGGTGACATTTTATGGAAATGATGCTAGGTTTGCTCCTTTCTCTCTGCCCCACCATTGGTGTAGCTGAAGGCAGCCTGTGGATGTTTGGCTATGTGAAACCTGCACCTCCACTCTAACCCTGAACCTTACCATCACACCTTTCCACCCTGACTACTGCAGGTTGGTGGGTTCAGCCCAACAGTAGGGCCAGCAGCTCCCAATCCCTGCTCTCCTTGGGCAGCCTGGATAGAAACACTTCCTTCCACCTTCTATATCTCCAGCAGTAGCTGTGGAAGAGTTGAATTCACATAATCTTTCTCCCCAGCACTTGAGTCCTTTTGATGGCCATAGCCCCGATTTGACTTCCTGGGTCACCAGCAGCACGTGGCTTTTCTTTCTAGAGTTCTTTCCTAGCAGGGAGAGAATGCTCTGGACCAGCCTGCACTGTCTGTAACCCTGAGTTGAACGCTCCCTGTTTCCCTTCTCTGACCTGTCAAGAAGATTCCTGGGCATCCTGGTGTCTAGGGAGATAGCAGGAGAGGTTACAGACAGGAGAAAGGGGGGGAATGCAGAGGCCACCTGGGAGAGGGCAGAAAGTATATCATTTATAAGCAACCTTTAGCCTTTTGCCACTCAGAAATATTTCTAAGAGCCTAAAGGTTCTTGGCAGGCCTTTCCCCTCATCAGCAAGAAATCCTGGGAGATGAGAGAGTCAGACCTTGTTCTCTGAGCAAGCTTTCTGTTTTGCCCAAGAGATGTCAGGAGATTAATGACTCTTCTGGAAGGAACAGGTTAGAGTGTTCGACTCTTCATTTTTGGGGGTACATGGAAGGTTTGGAAAATAGAAAGAAAAAGTCCACTCCAAATAAAGCTTTTAGTGCTGTATCTCATCAAAACCAGAGGACTGCTGTGGTCAGATTCTTTTCTCTCTCCCTCTCTCACTGTGGTTTCGGGAAGGTCAGACTCTAGGTGGTTTGTTTGTTTGTTTGTTTTGGTACCAGGGATCGAACTCTGGACCTTGTGCTTGCAAGGCAGGTGGTGGAACCACTGAGCTAAATCCCCAGCCTGGTTTTGTTTTTTTTTAATTGTCCACTGATTTAATTTATTGTATGATATTGGCAGTGTGAGGCTGGTCACTTCATTCCTGCTGCAGTCTTGCCTTCTTCCTTCTTTTCAGAGGGAGGGGTCCCAGAGATTGTGCCAACACAGTGCTGAGTTGGTATTTAAACCCTTGAGAGACCTGACAGGTTGGTCCTACAAGCCAAGGTGAAGGTAAAGGGTCAGGATTGTGGGTTGAACATCAACTTCTTATCCTGTATCTTTGCTCCTGCATCTGATTTTGTTTTTTCTGATTATCTGGCAAGCCCGCTGACCCAGCATCCTTGGTGGGAAAGCCTGCTGATTCCTCACAGCTTATCTATCTGGCCACCTTGCTCCTTGCTTCTTGGAATCCATGTAACCTGTTGTCTTTCAGAGCCAGAAGCCCCTGGGTTTCACTTGGCTGGGAGGGCTTGGGAGAATTAGGGTCAAGGTTTCTCATTAGGCCTACCATTTCCAAACTGGGTGGATGGCTGAATTGAAGAGAATCAGTTAGATCATTTACTGACTTTATTGAATTAGCCTTTTGAAGAGGTGACTGGTGTACTGTTGACTGAGATGCAAGTTTCTCAGTTTTTTGTTGATTGAGTTCATTTTCTTTTCTTTTTTTTTTTTTTTTGGTACTGGGCATTGAACTCGGGACCTTGCGCTTGCGAGGCAGGCACCGGACCCACTGAGCTAAATCCCCAGCCCTTTGAGTTCATTTTCTAAGGAAAATTTGCTTGAACCTGTTGAAGGGTTCTGGGAACAGTGCGTCAAAGCTCTAGCCAGAAGCTGGCTACGGATACAGTTCTGCAGACACAGGTTCTTACCCAGGGGACGGGGGAGGGAAGGCAGGAAGCAACTCACTGCTCTGTTGTCCCTCAGCTTCTTTTGCCTTATCCATCAGATGGTCAGGAGAAGTGACAAGACTGGGGTGGGGCATTTGATGAGCTCTGCATGATACCCATGAGATGTTGGCAGCTGGACCCCTGCTTACACACACCCCCCTGGTATGGATAAGACACCAGTCAGGTTTCCAGGCTGGGAAGAACAGGGCTTTCCCAGGGCTTTGTCCTTTTGGCCTCTGGATGGCCGCTGTGGCCACCATACTTGACGTCTTTCTTCATTTCCTCTGTTACTAAGTGGCCTATCTAGATAGTCAGCTCGGATGGTTTCCCTGTGGAGGGCCAGTTTCGTCTTTCCTCTCACCCACAGATGCAGTGAACATTCACTGATGTGCAGTACCAGGGCTTCAGAGCCAACAAATCATCACACACAGACTCCCTGGAGCCCAGGGTTCGGGGACCAGCAGTGGGAATCTGGTAGTGATTGGGTGGGAGGTCTCTGATATTTAAGCAGAAGCTTACAGGGTGAGGAGGGGTGAGTCAGGAGAGTAGGGGGTGAGGAGGGCCCAAGTCCACCCTGGAGGAGAGGAGAGAAGGGCTGGCACCACAGATGACTGGGGTGGAGAGAGGGGCCAGGGTGTGCAGGGCCTAGGAGCCCACTTGAGACTGGATTTTATTCCTGAGACAGGAAGATGGCATGGAAGAAGAGGAGGATCATGATCTAGTTCACCTCTTATAGGCGCTTATGAATCATGGAGAGCTTACCACATGCTGGGGTTGCATGGGATGAAGGCTTTGAAGGTAGAAATCTTTTTTTGGGGGGGGGTACTGGGGATCGAACTCGGGTCCTTGTGCTTGCGGGGCAGGCGGTGAAATCACTGAGCTAAATCCCCGGCCCTGAAGGTAGAAATCTTCATGACCTCTGCTAGAGGAAGTCATAGCTTAGCTGCAAACATGAAGGCAGACCCCAGTTCTGTGCTCTCGACCATGCAGTCACTCTGCGTGCAGTGGCAGGATGCATTCCTCTCACCTGGCAGAGCAGAAAGCTGCCCCTGGGACCCTGAGAGGGCAGAAGGGCTGCCATCCTGCAGGGAACCAGCACCAACTGTGGTCCCCGCCAGGCCAAGCCAGGCTGCCTATGTGAACATGAGAGTCCCAGCTGCTTTAGGCTCCTCCCTTTTTTTTTTGTACTGAGGATCGAACTCAGGACCTTGTGCTTGCGAGGCAGGTGGTGGAACTACTGAGCTAAATCCCCACCCCAGGGCCCTCCCTTTTTATGGGTTCTTTTCAACAACCACAGGCTGATGGGTGACACCTTTTAAAAATCCAACCTTTCACATTTTTTTTTTGGTACCGGGGATTGAACTCAGGACTTTGTGCTGACAAGGCAGGTATGGTGCCACTGAGCTAAATCCCTGGCCCCAACCTTTCACTTATTGCTGTGAATGTGACTGTTTTTACTTCTTTTTACCCAGTTTGTTTATTTTTATGGTCCTGAGGATTGAACCCAGGGTCTCAAACATACCAGGCAAGCATGCTATCACTGAGCTACACCCTCAGCCCACCTCCAGTTTATTTTGAATTTTTAAAATTCCATAGGAAAGCCGGGTATGGTGGTGCATGCCTATAATCCCAGCACTCAGGAGGCTGAGGCAGCAGGATCACAGGGAGATCAAGGCCAGCCTGGGCTACATAGTGAGTTTAAAGGCAGCCTGAACTACACAGCAAGACCCTATCTCAAAAACAAAAAACAACAACAACAACAAAAAACATAGGAACAGATAAGATGGTTAAAGGCTGTTGCTAAGGCCTCAGGATGTATCACAGAGGTAGAGCCCTTTGCTGTCCCTGCAAACCCTGCCTTTCTCCTTATATCATGGCCCAGTTTCCTTCCCGGTATCCCTTGGCCTCCCCTTGGCTTCTTGGTGTCTGGCTTGGGTTAGCTTTCAGGACCCGTGTGGGAGAGTCATGGAGCAGCCCATTCTCACTGGGCGATATTGCCCCGATACTTTGTTGCAGCCCGTCCCAGCTCCATTCTTTTAGCCTTTTCCCTGAGACACAGCCTGCTTCTAAGCCAGGAGGGCAGCATCAGCACAGCCCAAAGGTTCCAAGCAGCTTCGTTGGACTCTGACAGCCTGGATTCAAGTCTAGCTCCCTATGAGACCTTCGGCAGGGACTTACCTGCTCCGAAACTCCCCAGGCTGTTGTGTGGAAAATGAGGCCTGAGTGGAAGGGGAGCAAATACCATTGAACACAGTCACCAGCTCACACGGGCACTGTGCAGAAGGTGGCTGTTGCTGCGGGGACCAACAAGGGGACTCAGCCCTCTAGCTGTGTGAGTCCTGCCTCATGTTTGCTCTGAGGCTGAGATGACCTCTCACCCACATCTCCCCTGCTGAACTGGGATGCTGCTTCCTGTTGCCGGATAGACTCAGGATTGGGGAGAGGAGATCCTGGGGCAGGTACCCTCAGCAGGGGCATGCATGGTGTGCACCCTGGTGGGAAGTGGGAAGTTGGAATTTAGAGGGTCTCATCACCCTTGACTCCCTCTAGCTGCATCTGGCAACTGTGGTGGAGGCTCCCCACTGCCTTTGTTTCCCTGGAGTAGAGGGAGGCCCCTCTTCGACCCAGGGAGGCTCAGGGGAACCTGAGTGGGTTCATAGCACCCTCTTTCCTCTGCTGCTTTCTCTGTGAAGATTGTGTTTGTCAGTCTTCTGAGTGGGGCCCAACAGTGCAGACCATTGTTCTCTGTTCCCTGGCCCTGGGTCTCCTAAGCAGCATGCCCTGGTTACACCAATTCCTTGCCTGCCTTGGTTTGTCTTCCCTGGCTGGGCTGTTCTGGCCGCCCACTGCGGAGGCATCTGTTTAATAAACAGGTGCAGGTGAGGCGCCGAGCAGGCTGGGCTGGGTGAGGGCTGAGCTCTAAGCTGGGAGCAGGGAGACACCCTGGGATTTGGCACTACTTGGGTGCTTATCTGTTTTTTTGTTTTGTTTTGTTTTTTGTTTTTGAGACAAGGTCTCACTATGTAGCCTGTGCGGCCTCAAACTTGTGGTGATCCTCCTGCTTCAGCTTCCCAAGTGCTGGGATCACAGGTGTGATCCACCATGCCTGGCTATGGGTGCTTATCTGTTTGTCTCTCCCCTGGTCCACCACGGCCCAGGTGTGAAGGGGTCTGGGTCTCTGCTGGTGCTGAGACTATTCATGTGGGCTTTTTACTGCCAACAAAGCTTCTGAACTCACCCAAGGTTTAATTCCTTTCAAGAGTGAGGGACACTCTTACATTGCTCCCTGGTCAGATAAGAGAAGTTGCTCAGTGTCCCCAGCCCAGGCCCATCTGTTGCTGGACATCACTGGCTGGAGGCAGGAGAGCAGAAGGCTAGCTGGCCCCATTGGCAGGAATTTCTTTTTTTTTTTTTTTGGTAACGGGGATCGAACTTGGGTCCTTGTGCTTGCGCAGCAGGCGGCGCAACCACTGAGCTAAATCCCCAGCCCAGCTGGAATTTCTTTAGTGAGAGAAGTCTGGTCACTTAAAGCGTAGGTCTCTGTTCCTATATGAAGAGAGGGAAGGACAGAGTGATACCTTTGCCTGCACCCCCGACCCTCTCCTTGTAGGGCCCCTGTCTAGTTACAGGGGTGACCAGATCTGAACAGAAGTTAAGATGTTTCCAATCTTATGCCCACTTCTAGCATATAAAGGAGACGTACGTGTGTGTGTGTGTGTGTGTGTGTGTTGCTGGGGATATAACCCAGGGCCTCACTCATTCAGGGCAAGTGCACTACCCCAGCCCTTGTCTTGGGCTCTTATCTTCAGTGTCTTGATGAGAGAAGACGTGGGGCTCCAGCTGTGTTCCTCTCTGGGGGACTGCTGCCTTGCCTCTCACTCTTTGTCCTCCCACTGCTTGCTGCAGCCACAGGGCCTACAGCACCCTAAACCCTGAGCTTTCCAGTGTCCCCAAGTGTACTAACTGGCTCCAGACCCCACATGGCCTTGCGGGTCTCACAGGCTGGTGCCCACGCTGTCACACCTATGCTGGTTTGTTCATATCTGCACGTCAACCCGCAGATGGTCTTTGCCACGTGACGACCTGGCCCCCACTGCAGATCCAGTTCCTGTTGCTGCTGGCAGAGCTGACACCTGAAACTAGTACCCACCTGTGAAGCGGCTGGGCCTTTCCAGGAGTTGCCCCATAGCGAATGAGCCAGTGGCCCAGGCCTGCCAGCCACAGTGGCACTTGGGACTGTTCGGAGCTACATTCCTCTGTGCTCAGAGGTCCCTGCTTGCCTTGTGTTCTGACCATCCGTGTGATGGTCTCTTAGAAAACTGAAAGTGTCAGGGCCAGGAATCTGGCTTGTGAGGTTTTGTTTCTGTTGTTTCAGTCAGCTAACCTTGTGACTGTAATCTCCCTAAATCCCTGCTATGTTACACTTGGTTCTGCTCATCCTATTTCTTTTCCTCTCTCTTGATCCTTTGGCTGTTGAGATCCGGTTTCATTGTTTTCATTCATCCAGTAAACAGCTACTGTGGCCAGGGCCTGAAAAGGTACTGGGACACAGAGGTAACCTGAAAACAGTCCCTGCCCACAGGGCTCACTGCCCAGAGGGAGACTAGACACGTATCATGCCAGCCACACACAGTTACAGAACTCTGCTCCCTCACCCTGCCTGGCACTGCTGCTGGCCAGTTACACCATTGCCTCTGTCCTAAGCCTCCAATAATAGTAATAATAATGATAGCTTTTAGCTATTATTTATTGAGCACGTTCTATGCCTATGTAAGCTCTAGAATGTTAGCTGGATTTTTCCCATTGATCTAGAGGTGAATACTATTATTATGTTATGTCCAATTTACAGATAAGGAAATAAAGCAAGATCAAGTCATTTCCCCAAGATTATACAAATAGGAAATAGAGAAACCAAAATTGGAACCCAGAGGCCAGGTTCCAAACAAGCCCCCAGCAGGGCTTATTGGTCAGAAGTTGACATGTAGCACGATTCACCCCAGCCGCTTTCTTTTCAGTGACTTTGGGGCAGCCCTGAAAGGCTGGGCAAGCCTTTGCAGACCTCAGCTTTGCAGACCTCAGATTTACATCTCTGGCGCCAGAGCTGCAATTGGGAGACAGGCGGTTATCTGAGGGAGGAGAGTATTTCCTTGACTCCATTGTAACCTCGAGTCTAATCAGTCTGCCCTGTTTCTGCACGATTAGTCAGCATCTCTTAACTAGCAGTCTGGGCGAGGAGAGAGTTCTGCAGCCACTTTCCCAGGTGCCCTCATCCTCCTACCTTTGACTGCCGAAGCACTTTTTCTTCCCTTTCGGTGGTGTTTCAGTGCTGGGTGGACTTTGGAGGAGGCCCTCCAGAGTTGAAATCACAGCGGGTGTGGTCACCACATCAGGCTCAGGGGCTCAGCACTCAGCAGCCGGGCCTGGGTGTGGTCATGGAGAACAACACAGCAACTCCAGTGAGAAAACTAAGAAAGGGGTATCTCAATAGGTGGAAAGCAAGTCATTTTGGGGTTTTTTGGGGTTTTTTGGTTCCAGGGATTGAACTCGGGTCCTTGCACTTGTGCAGCAGGCGGTGAAACCACTGAGCTATATCCCCGGCCCAGCAAGTCATTTGGGATTATTAAAAAAATCCCTTTCCAGAGAGGTTCTGAGATACAGTATGTGTGGTGGTTGATGCTTTGAAAACACCAGGGGAGACAATGGCATATGGCTCAATCTATGTTTAAGAAGCCAGCTGTACTTATTGCTAAAGGAGGCAAGGAAGCCCATTCAGTCTCCCCAGGCTGACCGAGGAGAACCAGGGCATTGTAGTGAGAGCAGCACCTGGTCCTTCCCAGGTGGTCTAGATTCTGCCTCTGTGCTGGCTCCAGTCTGTTTCCATGCACAAAGCTGCTGAGAAGGTTCTAGCCAGTCGGGGCCTGTGGCCAAGGCTGGGTCCTAAGGTCTACTGCTCTAGGGTGTAGGATACTCCAGAAGGGGAATCCTAACCTGCGGTCTCATCAGTGCTTTCAAGTGAACCCCCTGAAATTATGGATAAGACTTTGTATGTTTTCTGGGAATCAGAAGCACAGCTTTCTTTATTGGGTTCTCTGCAGGGTTTATGACCCCTACAAAAATTAGGAACAACAACAACCAAAAAAATAGGAACCTTTGTGTTATTACTTCAGGGGGCTTGGGCGAGATGGACACCCAAGCCTGGTGTGAGGTCATTAGGCCCTTCAGGCAGCCCAGAGCCAGCTCTAGCATTCCCAGTGGAGTGACTGTGAATGTGCACTTGCCCTTCTGATCTTCGGGAACCCCTGCCATGATCCTGTGATCTTTCCCTCTACACACAACAGAGAATGTCACCAATGGCACAGTGGGGGGCACCTCAGAGCCTGAGCACGAGGAGGTGACGTGGATGAATGGCTGGCTCAGCTGCAAGGCCCAGGATGAGATTCTAAATCTGGCCTTCACTGTGGGCTCCTTCCTGCTCAGTGCCATCACCCTGCCCCTGGGGATCATCATGGACAAGTACGGTCCAAGGAAGCTCAGACTTCTGGGCAGGTCAGTGTGGGTTCCTTGGGGATGATGGGTGGGCAGGTGGACTCCCTGAGGGAATCCTGGAGCCTGCTGTCCAGTGCTCTGTGGGGCTCCCTGAATGCCCAGGCTGGGAGTGAGCGTGTAGCTCAGTGGTAGACCACATGCCTAGCCTACATGAGGTCCTAGGTTCCATCCCAGCCCAGCGAAATATGTAAATTAGTTAAATAAAATAACATTTTATTAAATTTTTTTTTTGTGGTACCAGGGATCAAACTCAGGGACCTTGTGCTTGGGAGGCAGGCACAGCTAAATCTCCAGCCCTGAAATTATTTGAATGAGATTAAAGAATGGAAATCCTAATGTAGTGGTGATGAACCTATGGCACACATGTTATTCTGTTTTTCTTTTAGGACAAAAGATGGTAACGTAGAGTAGTTTTTTCTAAACTAAAACCTCAGCATTCAGGTTTAAGTGCAGTATTGGCACTTTGTGATAAATAAGTGAGTTTTGGGTTGCAGTTTGGCACTTGGTCTCTAAAAGGTTAGACATCCCTGTCTTAATATATTAGCACCTTAATAGTGCTGCCCTGGGGTGTGCCCCCTGGGGTATGTGCTCCTGGTCTCTAACGCTCTAGCTGTCAGACTCAGAGTCAGTTCACCTTCAGCTGGCCTCTCTGGTCTGTCCCCTCCCCTGTTCCTATTGGATCTTGCAGGAGCATGCCTCACTGGGCAAAACCCATGGTTGGGAAGGGAATGGGTTTGGGGATCAGTTCCAGTCACTCTTTGGAGCTGAAGAGGCCTTGGTTCCCAGGGCAGAGCCAGGTGGAGGGGCTTCAGGATCAGCCAGTCATCTCCCCGCTGGCCCAGCTGTGCAGGCTCAGGAACCTGAGGAATCCTTGTGTTTTCCCTTGCTTCAGAGCCTTGGCCCTCTCCCATCTGGGGTGGGGTTTATAAGGTCTGATTTGGGGGCTTCAGTTCCAACTTTGTCTCATGCTAGGTAGAAGACCTTGGAGAAACTTGTTTTTGTTTCTTTCCTTATTTATTTATTTAGTGTTTTTTGAGACAGGGTCTTGCTATGTAGTTCAGACCTTGAACTTGTGGCAATCCTTCTGCCTCAGCCTCCTGAGTGCTGGGATTACATGCAGCTCCATGCCTGACATATTTTTTTTTAATGATATTTATCTTTCTTATCGGCCAGTAGGAGCCAATTGTTTTCCTTAGAAATCCCCAGGAATTTTTTTTTATTTTGAGAAAGGATCTCACTAAGTCACTAAATTACCCAGCCTGGGCTTGAACTTGTGATCTGTCTGCCTCAGCCTCCCAGAGTTCTGGGATTATAGGCATGTGCCATACCTGGCTCCCAGGATTGTTAAATCAAATAACTGTAAGTGTTCTGAAAGGATGCAGAGGAAATACTCCTAAATGATAACAATATATAACAACAATCAATAACGTGATAAATAATGTGCTATTTCTGCTTGGTTTTAGTGCCTGCTTTGCTGTCTCCTGCTTGCTGATTGCATATGGAGCAAGTAACCCAAATTGTGAGTCTGCCTTTCCTCTACCCTTTTGTTAAGGACTGGGGAGAGACTGCCCAGAGGTCTTCCCTGGCCCTCCTGCTTTTGGATGCTGTATGGTGGGGCCTGGTGCTCCCTGCTCAAGCTAGAGGGGACATGTGTTAGGTTTCTACTCGGTTGCTTATCTCACATGAATGGCCAGGAAAGAGAGTAATCACCCAGACAGGTGATTAGAGGAGCTCCCAGGGTATGCAAAACTCCATCTCATCTTCAGGCCAGCCAGTTCCTGATGGCCCCACTGATGTCAACTTTCGAGACAAGCTCTAGGAACCAGGCTGGCTGCAGGAACATGGGCCTCTGTGTATACAGAAGGCATGAGCTGAGCCTTCACAAGGCAGCCTTTTATTATAGCTTGGAAGCTATCTGGTCCCTGTCTCTGTTCAGATGGGGCTGTTGGCTCGAAGACTTTGAGAACGAACGACAAAATAGGGCCTGAATTTCACCAAAATCTTAGCCAGGCTCACTTACTGATTTTTGGAAGCCTAGGTTTTTGGTTTTAATGAAGCAGCTCCTTTAGGCTTCTTGCTTGCGGCTAGGTTAATGGAGAAAGGAGGATGAGCATGTGCCTTTTGCAAAAGTTTCAAGCTCCGTGAGGTAGCCCAGGGGAGGAGGGTAAACAGGAGGCTTTCACCTCAGTGGGTTTTGGGCGCTAAACCCAATGGCTCCTCCTTCTTTCAGCCTGCTCTGTAGAGGCCTTGGCCCAGGCCCTGGCCTTGCTGAAGCTCAGCTATGGTTCCCCACTTATGACTTTGTTTTCTTACAGCTCTCTCTGTGCTCATCTTCATCGCCCTGGCTCTGAATGGCTTTGGTGGGATGTGCATGACCTTCACCTCATTAACAGTGAGTATCCATGGTTTTTTTTCAGCAATCTGCTTGTGAATTTCAGGCAACTTTTGTTGGTTTCCATTCCTTGCCTTCCATTCACCTACATAATCCTGGATGTCCCAAGAAGGGGAGGGCTGACAGCAAAGCCATTCCTTGCCTCCCAAACTGGGAGTTCCTGTAGGCACCAGGGTGCCGCTGGTAGGGTGATTGGCTCCCACCTCCTCACATTGACCTCAGCACTGTGGAGCAGCTTACTAGCCATGTGCCTAGAGAAGGCAAGAGGAGGGGAAAAAAAGGCTGCTGCCCACTTTTTCTCTTGCTTTGCATCACTGGTGTCTCTGGGAGTTCAGGCAAATGGTGTAACCAAAAAACAAACCTCCCTTTGAATCTCCCTAGCTCCATCCTTTGCCTTTGCCCAGAACCAAGTGACAGACTCAGGAGCACCCGTGTGGGGTCTCATCTTGGTTTTCTAAAATGCCAGGGCACTAGGCTGGGCTGTAGTTCATAGGTAGAGCACGTGCCTAAAATGTGTGATACCCTCATTTTGACCCTTAATATGGAAGGAAGGAGAGAAGGAAAGAAAGAAAGAAAGAAGGAAGGGAAAAAAAAAAAGGAAGGAAGGAAGGAAAAGAAAAAAGACAAAGCCTGGTTTTGGGGAGAGAGATGTTTTCTCACCATACTGAGTACCCCTTTCTTGGGAGCAGTACGATATCACAAAATATGCTTCTTTTTGAGGTGTGTGTTGGGGGGGAGGTGTTGAAGGAAGGTGTAGATTGAAAGAAAATCCAAGTACAAACAAAAGAGTCTTCCCCAGAAGGAAAAAAGGAGCTCTGCATGCTTCTGGGTCAGGGAAGGTGTCATTCAAAGCTGGGAAAGAAGTAAGAATAATAGTCTTCTCCCCAACAGGGAGTGCTCTCTGCCTCAGTTTACCGTGAAGTTGTTTTCAGGATACAGAATGTACCATTACTATTTGCAGTGTACTCTGGCTTCTGATTTCCCTTTATACCAATGAGTCATGCTGTTGAAAGTTTTGTGTTTTGTTCCAAGGGAGCACTGGGCACTTCTGATCCCTTGGTAAGGAGCTTGAAGAGGTGCTGGCATCTTGGTCATCGCCTGCAGGCTGCATGCCACAGGCAAAGCCCAAGGTCTCCTCTCCTCCCCCTTCCCATGCTTTGCCTTGCTAGTTTTATCCAGGCAGGGAGGGTTAACTGTGTGGGCCCAGGGCCACTGACATAGAAAGTTCACTGCAGTCTGTGTTAGGTGAGAAGAGCCCAGCGGTGATACATGTGGCATGCTCTGGGGTGGCTGTCTGCAAGGTGTTCGTGACACCCATAAATCTGGTGACATTGTGTTGGTGTCAGGGAGATATACATTGTATTCTTTTGGGCACATTTATTTTGGTTCTTTTAATGGGTAGATTTAAAGGAAAAATAGATACATCTTCCCTCCAAATTCCCAGAGGAAAACATGTTGGAACTGTAGGAAATATGTTCACACCATCCAACGTACACATTCCACCAAATTGTGTAAACTGTGAAACAAGAGTTGCGTTCTGTTTGTTCATGGACAGTGTGAAAACCACCAGCCCTTTATCAAAGTGAAAAATAAAACTCTGGCATCACACCCATTATTTTAGTCACACCCAGGCTCTGTGATGGTAGGTGTGAATCTCAGATGGCCCTGAGACTTGCGGAATTTAAGCTCCAAAATGCAGAGATGGGCCAGTGGTAGAGCACTTGCCCAGCACACTTGAGATCCTGGGTTCTGTCCCTAGCAACACATACACACACATAAATATATAAAAGTAGCCTTTAAGAGGTGGGGATTCAGCTCAGTGGTTCTGCCACCTGCCTTGAAAGTGCAAGGTCCTGAGTTCGATCTCCTGTACCAAATAAATAAATAAATAAATAAATAAATAAATAAATAAAAAGTAGCCTTTAAGAAAGGCTTGAAAGTGAACTCTGAAGTTATCTAAAAAAATTTAAGAACAACTAATAGGCCTGTAACTGTTATTTTTTTATGATTATAAAACAAATGTTTTTATTTTTAAAAATTCAACATTTCAGAAATACATAGACTGTAAAATTCTATTATGTCTGTCTACCATCATCAGTTTTTCCCCTTTTTCTTTTTGGTACTGGGGATCAAACATGGGACCTTGCACTTTCAAGGCAGGCAGCAGCACCACTGAGCTAAATCCCCAGCTACCATCATCAGTTTTTGAAATGTGTTTCTGCAGTATTGCTTTAAATCTTGTATATACTAAAGGTACGCTATTTATTTATTTATTTATTTATTTATTTATTTAGAGACAGGGTCTCACTGTGTAGTTCAGGCTGGCCTTCAAGTCACTTTGCAGCCCAGGCTGGCCTTGAACTCATGGTGATCCTCCTGCCTCAGCCTCCTGAGTGCTGGGATTACAGACATGTACCACTACAACTGGCTCTTTTTATTTTTAACTGCTACAACTTGGCTTTTCCACTTAATGTATCTTTTAGATTTGTCCCATCAGTATTTAGAAATCTAGGGCCAGGGACTTAGCTCAGTGGTTCTGCTGCCTGCCTCGAAAGCACAAGGACCCAAGTTACATCCTCGGTACCAAAAAAAAAAGTACTTAGAAATCTACCTTCTTATTTTAAATTCTAGAGATCTTCCATTACTAAACAGTTCTGTATTATTTTATAATGTAGATGTATCATAATTTATTAAACCAGTCTCCTACTAATACACATTTGGGTTGATTTTCAATTTCTGCAATTTATGGTTTTGTTTTTTTTTGGTACCGGGGCTCGAACTCACGTCCTTCCGTTTTCGAGGCAGGCGGCGGAACCACTGAGCTAAATCCCTGGCCCTGCAATTTATGGGTAATGTTGAGGTGAACTTCCCCATACATGTATTTCTTTTTTTTCTTTTTTTTCCCCATTAAGTTTATTGGTACATTTTAGGTATAAATACAGTTACATTCATCATTGGGATCTTGTACCTTTACATGAGTATCTTGGTTCTTATTTTTTA